CGGACTCAAGTGAGTAAAGGCAACTTAGTATATTAACTTAGTTTTTATACTGAAATTCTTAGCCTTATATAAGAAACCAATTAAAAAAGTGCCCCTGTAATAGTGTATTACAGGGGCACTTTTGAACATCAAACAAATATTTAAAAATAAAATATATCTTTAAGTCATCCATCTTGCGAACCTATTTATTTGCTCGTTCAAAAGTGTAGATCTCGATGGCGAATAATGAACACGAAACTCCAGGGTAACTGATTTTTTGTATTGTAAAACATTCACAGTTTAACGTGACATATCTGTGGTCATGTCGTTTGTACAACGAAAGCTAAAGAGCTGTTTCTACGAGTGCTTTCAAAGCATTATAGAAGCAGATAGAAATAGACATTTCCCAAAATCACAACTAATATAAATCAATACTTAAAATACTAAAGCAATGCAACAAACAATAATTAATCACAATTTTGTACTGATAAGGAGATAATGCAATAAAATTGTCGAGCTGCCCTCGTGTCAATTAGTGACGGCCAAATCATAATATTAGATAATTCAACTCTCGACCTTGTTTGTACGATAACAGAGTTCAAACTGATTTCGTTCCGGGCCATACAGTATTGTAAAACAGTAAAACGCCTTATAATTTTATAAATTACACGAGGCTAGGTTTTTAAAGAGAATTCGCAAAACCTGGGAAAGTTAAATGAAGTTTTTGAGTGTGGGAGACCCATGTTTTGGCACAAATGGGTCGGCTGGACCGGAGTGATACCACAGTCTCACAGAATGGCGAATGAAAGGACCACAGGGTTGTGGTTCAGAATTAAATAAAACGTTAATTAACTTTTTTGTCATAATATAAAACTACAGAAAATTAAAAAAAAAAACGGTTGCTCAATAACAAATAATTATGCAATTCTGTTATCCGTTGTAGGAGCAAACTAGTTTTTTATATACTTTCTTTGCATTTTTATCAGTTGATTTTTACATAATGTACGACTGTGAATTTAAAGGTCTCTCGTCAGCAAAAACACTCATTTTTGATTCTTAATAATTTGACACATTCTTAATAATGTACTAAAGTAGTTTATGTGACGCTGATTTAAAAAGAGTAACCATGGAGCAAATAGCTTCTGACAGAGTAACACTTTTTATCTTTAAGCTTTGTTTGACGTTCAAATTTGAATGTGACTTAGAAGCTATTTTTTAAAAAAACTTAACATGTAAAGCTCTTGTATTACAAGAAATAGCTCTTAATGCTTACAAAATAAAGACCAGTCGAATGGACAGTATCAATGTAGGTGTTGATTGAAAGCCAAAATGTCAGTATCCCGTTAGATACACATCATATAATAATAACATAACAAGATATACTAATCAACTTCCAAAAGTCATCACCTACTTAGTGCTTGTACGTAAAGCAAACAAAACGTCACGGTGTCAATGACCTAATGACGGATGCGTGTGCGCATGTCACGGGCTTACAGGGCGCTGACGGATTGTGACCGGTGCGTTTGTTTGCGAACTAATTATAGCGCAGGGTTTGTAGGGCTCCGAAGATTGATGCCACCAGGTGGGGAGAGAGATTAAAATAGACTTAAGTGTAGGAGAGCCATGCTTCGGCACGAATGGGTCGGCTCGACCGGAGTGATACCACGGCCTCACAGAAAACCGGCGTGAAACAAGCACAGCGTTGTGTGTTTCGCCGAGTGAGTGAGGTTACCGGAAGCCCAATCCCAAAATCCTCCAATCCCAAAATCTCCAAATCCCTAATCCCTAAAAAGCCGACAAGTCGTAACTTCTCCATTGTTGCGAGTGTCCACGAGCGACGCTGATTGCTCTCCATCAGGTAATCCGTTTGCTAGTTTGCCGACCTATATATTAACACATAAAAAAAGACAACTGACAAATTTCTACGTGACATGTTTTTTTTTTTAAATCTGCGAAACGATTGACTCATAACAGGGCAAAGGCCTGTCACGTAGAGATGAATGAACGGGCGTGCTGTACATCAAAGAGATAGTTGTCCGTCTATATTTTGCTTTGACGTTTATGCGTTTATGATTTGTGTGTGTAAAGCTCATATTTTGTGCGTAGATTCCATGAACTGGCACGTGTCGTGTTAACTTGGCCGATATTGAAAGGCGATAACGTATGCAGCTGTACAATTAATAAACTATGTGGTCGACTAATTGTTCTAGTGTAGTTGGGTAGTTTCCTAGGTCAAAAATAAATTAATTCGACGTTTCAATACAATAAAATATTGAAAAATAACTATACTTTTATTCATCGGTCGATCGATACACGAAATAAGAAAGCTTTTGACGCAAAAATACTACGGCGTCATAGCTCAGTTCTTCATACAAATTTCGTAGAAAAGTATCGTTTTTGATATTTGGATAAAAGTATTGAATTTGACTAGTTGGAAAATACCGTCTTCAAAAATAGTTGCAATCGAACAGCTATTTCATGCGACGATTTCGTTATTTTTATATCTAAGGCCTATAGGATTTTTTTATGTGATAGTACGGCAAACGTGCTGGCAGATTACCTGGTTGTAAGCAACCAGTGCCGCCCACGGAAACCCGGAAGAACAGAGGAATTACGAGTGGGTTGCCGACAATTTCTGGATAAGGGTTGTGTAGATTATAACAATACAGAAATCAACATATAGTAGAAATATGTCTATAATGTAACATCTATTACTAATCCATCACACAAAGATTCAAATGACCGGGTTTTGTATTAAGCTAAAATCATTTAACTAACTAGATAAAGTAAGTACATAAAACTGTGACCAAATAGTCTAAAATCAAAATGCAAATCCATACTAATATTATATGTATATACGAAAATAACTCTGTCTGTCTGTTTTTTTTTTTCTTCACGCCTAAACTACTGAACCAATTTCTGTGAAATTTGGTACAGACAGTTTGGAACTCGTGAAAGACAAGATAGTTTTTAAACCAAAAATCTGCAGGAAGCCACGAACGGAATCGCGGGCAAAAGCTAGTATATAATAATATAAAATAGTATAGTATCGATATTAACAACAACAGAGCTATAAAAATGTACATTTAGGATACGGACAACGTTCGCAAAATCACTGCCTAAGCCTAAAGTTCCCGCGGCTAAATATAGACGAGACTGCAGCGCTAATAGAGATTGATGGTAACAGATGGCAAAGTGTTTAACATATAAACATACATATGCGGCCCCAGAACGAACAATAGGAAATCGACTAATATAATATTATATAAATATAAAAATGAATCGCAAAATGTGTTGGTAAGCGCATAACTCAAAAACGTTTGGACCAATTTTGCTAAATCCTTTTGTTTTGTATTTATTATTGTCAGGAGAAGGTTCTTATGAAAGAAAATATTAGAAAAGTAGAGGGGAAAATTGAGGAAAAGGGACCCTTTCATTGTTAGGGAGATAGTTGGACCCGTGCGAAGCGGGGGTGGGCCGCTAGTATTATATACACATGACCTATGCTGTATATATTGGATATGGCTTAACTGTTATGAAGCCATATCTTGAAAAAATTTTAAAAAAGTAACCATGCAGTTTCTTCCTCGTTCTTCTCTATCGGAATCTACACTTTGGAACGAGCAACTACCTTCACTAGAAGACAGACGGACAGACTGACATGTATATAGTTAAACTTTTTGATATATTTTTTGCTTGACGTTCAAAAGTGCCTGTTGTAATCTGCTAGAAATAAAGAATTTGATTTGATTTGATATCAAAACTAGACTAAAAGACCATTACCTTAAAGTCGAAATTATACAATGTGATTTAATCATATGTAATAATACTAGCTATTCTCGCGCGGTTTCACCCGCTGCTCGGCTCCATTTGATTACAGCGTGATGTTTTATAGCCTATAGCACTCAGGAATATTGTGGCTATCTATCAGTGAAAGAATTTTGGAAATCCGACCAGCGGTTCCAAAGATTACTCAAAGATACAAACTTACAAATTTTACCTCTTTATAATATTAGTACAGATTTGTTTTCATGTGTTTTAACACATGAATATAATTTGTGTTGCACAGTAAGTGCATACGTTGGAAACAAAGCAACATGTTCTACGTGAGTCCTTTGATAGCATCACTAAACAACTTTCAAATTCCATTAGGCATGTACCTACAATGCACGCGTTAATCTTATTAATCTGAAAATAACGTTAATTGTCGCCCGCAGCATTAGCCAAAGCGGTAAATTGTTATCGCGCGACATAATCCAAATTTAGAACTTGATTCACTTTGATGTCAGGGATAAAAAGATTATCTGACGGCCACACAGACGAGTCTGCCACATTCGAGTACATATCAAAAGCATAGCCGGAAAAAATCAATACAGACAGTTATTTTTGTATTAATAAAATTTCAGCAGAAGCCCAATCTGGAAAAATATTTCTTTCAGAACAAGACAATTTAAAGAAGTGTAAACATTTAAACACGTTATTCAATAGATATTCAAATAGTGAAATATTTTCGTTTTAACGGTGCAGCTATTTAGGAGTCAGCGACCCGAATACATACAAACTATAGAATTATAATATAATCTACTATCATTGAAATTGAAAAAAATGCGAACTACAGAAAGAAACAATAAAACTTGTAGTGAGGGTATTGCTATAACCCATTGGCAATGACATCATCACGCATCATCAACCTACAAGTACTGAGCAAAGGCACATAAAACCTTGAGCCTCCGTGAGCTCTTCTCACACGGAGAAGATTTGAACATTAATCAACAAGCTTGCGGATTGGCGATGTCAAACTTATAATTAGGAATTATAAGCCCAGGTTTCCTTATAATTTTCCTTCACCGTATGCTAGTGGTATCTAAATAACCATAGAAAGTACATGTAACTCGGAAAAGGTCACATTGGTTCTTGCCACATCCTCATGCATAAGAAGCGGGCACCTTAACCTCCGGGCCAGTACGACACATTGTTATTGTCAATAATGAAGTATTATTATTACTATTGCTAAAACATACCTTATTCAGATTACATATGAGTTTCCTAGCATCCTTGCAGTCTGGTGGGTTCTGTAGGTAGTGGAGTCGTCTTTGTACAAGGTCGCTGACGTTGGCTGCCTCCGCTTGCCTCCACTCATTGTAACCGTCCAGCTCTGGTAACGCTTGTTGGTCTGAGAGTAGAGACCTGGAAGAGAAGGAACGAATTCTTGAGGCTAAGAATACTAGAACTTTAGAATTAAGTAGTTTAGTTAGATAGTTCAGGCATTTCAAATTGACTTTTGAAATGCCTAAAAGATATGTACCTAATCAGTTCCATTTAAAAGAGGACTAAGTCATTGGCAAACACTGATCACCCATTAGTCTTTAGGGGTCTCCTAAGGGAAACCAAACAATACGTTTCGTCCGCCCAGAGATTTAAAACCCTCTTTTTCTGAGGGAAAAATCATCAAATGACTTCTCTCGCAGAGAGGTGAGAGTGAGAGGGAGTGCAGACTCTTACTGACTCAACACTCCGTTCATTCTTCTGCTCTAGGCCGAGGGCTTGATACTTTATTGCACTTGCCCCGCAACCGCGACCTACCATCGACTCTGTATGGCCTCGTCTGTGGTGATCTATTGGCTGTTTCCTAGAGTCCTTGTTAGGCAGTCGAACCCAATGACTTGACAAAGCATTTAGTTTTATCTTTAAGAACTAGAAAACTAGCTTAGACTAAAGGAAGTTCCTTTGACGATACGTTATCTCAATTTATTGCATTCGAGTGTGTAATATGTGTCATCAAGGACGAACCACTGGACACGTCACAGCGTCTGTCGTCCTAAGCGAGCGTATCAATTAGATTTGCGATAGATATAGATACAAATCGAATGCAACACATGCTTGAACCATCCTTATGAATAATGGAAATAAAAATAGCCAAGATATAAATTACAAAGCTATGTTCTTATAACTGGCGTCTTTTTTATTGTTTGTCTAAGAAGCAATAGGTTTATTTTGAAGAAGAAAATCGTCGAGTTACTCCCTCGGCCTAGTTCTACTACACAAAAACTGTTCCTACTTCTCTCCTCCGAGCTGAGATACATCAATACGCTTGGACTCACATGCCGGCTCAAATATTGACCTACATTTGGCATTAAGAGACCTTGTACTTGACAATCAAACTTCCGATTAACCACTTAAATGACGTGTTGAACAAAAATATGATGCAAATTGAGGATATGACAGCCTGTCACTCAATTACAAAGTATCATTCAGTCTACGTGTCCAATAGATAAGATTATCCAAAGGAGGAGCTGGTAACAATGGACATTTTCATCCGATCAACTCGACAATATTGTACGGCACAAGTCGTACGCTTGTTAAACCTAACCTTGACAGCGTGTGACTCAACGATTTGTTTATACGAATTAAATAATTATTCCCATCTCCGTTCGGATCAAAATGACACACACATCTAAGTCATGTCAGTGCAAGAGTTCAATGTTTTATACCTATTTCATAGGTTTCGCTTTTATTTTTTTGAAGCTGAACCGGCAAACTGCATTTCGTCTCAAAGTTAACTAATGTCTTCTAACCTTCTGAACCTAGGAAAGGTTCAGAAGGTCAGGAAGGACATTCACAAATATTTCAATGCCTTCTTGAGATTTAGTGAGACTAACGAAAGCATTTCATCTTACCTCTTAATATTATAAATGTGAAGTTGGAACGATGTTTGGATATTTGTTACTCAATCTCGCCTAACTAGCTGGGCGGATCTGGATGAAATTTGGCAAAGGCATAGGATACACTCCAGAATAGGATATAGGTTACTTTTCATCAACATACCACGCGGGCAAAGCCACAGGCGAAAGCTATTTTTTATATATTAGACTAGCTGACTTGGCGAACTTCGTACTTTCAAATAGTAAATAAATACTTTTCTCACAGCAACCTTTCCAGGACTATTACAAATATTTTAAAATCTGAATCTATTCGGTCCAGCCATTCTCGAGTTTTAGCAAGACTAATGAACAGTTATTTATTTTTATATATAAGATGTTTACATGTAAAGTACATATTGTTCGCTCTATGATCCATGTTAACTTATGATGTTTATTGATTCAGCAGGACGAGTACACACACACATGAAACGTCATAGTTAATTATTAAACATAACACACATGACCTATATTTAAACTTTTATTACAGCTTCATCCAAAGGTTGTCTGTAGGAGATCGCTTTGTGCGATAAGACCACCTGTTGTACGTACCTACACTCACTTTTTTATAAATTGTCTTTTGTTTTATGTAACTAAGGTAAAAAGGTGTTTAAGGTAAAGAATAAAGTAGGTACCTATAAAAATAAAAATAATATTTTATTTTATTTTATAGTAATATTGAAAAATGTAATTTTAGAGTGATTTTAATAAATATATGAAAATAATATAAACTAATTAGTATATTATATAGTATATTATATAATTACACCCAGTTTCTGAAAGGCTTGTCAATTCTTTGATCAATTAACACTGCGATTAATTTGACATGACTGTCAAATCAATTTGAGTTTCTGAAACGTTGATCAAGGCATAATTAACTAATCTATGATTATTTTGATTTGACATGTGATTTATTTTTAGTCATAGCCACACTGCTCTTTTTTGTTCAATAGTTCATTCTTATCTGTCAAATATGTTAATATTAAAAAAAATACGGACTGTCATTGATGTCAAACAATTCTGCGAAATTTAAATATCAAGCTCAGAATACAGAACAAACCAGAAGTCGCGTTCACTCATAATTACATGTCGTCAAATGTGTCCAAAAACAATACGTCAATCCCCCCGCCAGCCGCACTTCCCACCCGCCTAGTGTTGCCGAAAGTGGAACAATTCCCTTGGTTTGGGGTAATTTTACAACAGGAGGGTAAGATATATTTTGTTGGGTAAACCTAACAAAAATAGGTAAACTTACTATAAATGTTAATGTTAATTTTAGTTACACCTACTATACACAACAAATAAAACAAAGCTTCAATAAGTGCGAAGGTTTTATTGCGTTCCCTTTTGCTGGTTTAGTTTTTTATAATATGTATTGTCTTAAGACTCGGAACTAAAGATAAGAAGTCTACTTACTTTACTTAGTTCCTGAGATTAGCGAATTCAAACAAACAAACTCTTCAGCATTATAATTAGTATACCTATAGATATATCTTTGTAGGAAATGCTGTTTTCATACCACCTTTGTCATAAATACATATATCTCTTCAAAGTAAATTGAGCAAACTATGCTCTGGCTAGATGGTTTCCAAAATGAATCTAGCCGTGCCTTTTGTATGATTTTTAATTTTTTTTTTTAGATAATGGACAGAAATATAACCCACAAAAAATAAATAAGTGGGTAAATTTTTCACTAAAAATGACAACACTCACAAAATGGCCGCATAATTTTCATAGAAAAATAAATCGATTAAAAAAATTCAATAATTAATTAAATATACTATTGCAGTCGATGCTTGCAGATGAAATGTAATCTTATCCACTTTTTTCGTATTTCCAGCCGCATTTTTAATCGTAGTAATAACACAAGACGGCATAATAAAATTAAAATTGATACTCGTAAATACGTCACGACATGCCACGTGCCAAAATTGACTAATCGTAGAAATTTCATACTACTATAGTAAAGAGTGGTTTTAGTTGCTTTTGTTTTAAGCGCGATAACGCCTTCTGGTTTGTTCTGTATTCTGAGATATCAAGTTACAATTTCAATAAAATGCTAACTAAACTTCCTTAAAATGGCATAACGAGGGAAGAATTTCATCGAAAGGGAAAGGCATGTTCTTTTAGAACTAGTTCAGAAGTAAGTCAAAGTTTAAACATATATTTATTACCTATTGCGTTTTATAAACCTCTTGTTGTTAAAAAGTATTAAATATATTTGTTTATACTTCACATCCTGCGCTGCAGCCAAGACTGATGTATAATACGCACAATGTTTTATTACAGATACAAGCACATAATTGATAATCAGTTCACAAATACTATATCTAGTACTAATAAAAATTAAGGTCGGGAAACCATAATGAATGAATTCAAAAGTAATGCAGAAGTGTCTTGAAGCCAAAAACAGTAATCACAGCCCATGGGAATTAAAAAGAACTAGGAGACAGAATAAAAATGTAAGTTTTTGATCTTAAAATACTTTTTTAGTGTCCACACTAGCTAGTCAGAATATTGTAACCGTTACCAGATTATGATATATTAAATACCTGTCCTGATTTCTTAACTAAGTACCTAATAATGTATTAAGAATAATTATTGCAACTTTAATGAAATTTATTTACAGGTAATTTAACTTGCACATCAAGGAAACAATTTAAACATGAGAGGCAGACACTCAGAAACAAAATAATAAGAAGTATAATGAAATAAAGATGGAGTATGTAAATAAAAAAAGAAGTTATTAGAAGATCGGTTAACTATAAAAAAGCATATATTTCGAAATAAAATAAGTGATTTGGTTAAGAAATATACATTATTAGTATATAATTTAAATATTGGTAGGTTACTATACTAACTAAATATGTATATATTATGTAAGTAAGATAATATACTTGTTTTTATATTTCAAGTGTTATATTATATTTTTTATAAAGATTAATAATTAAATATATTAATAATATGGTTATTTCTTTGTATTCACTTAAAAATACAAACCATTAATATTACTTAACAATTAAAATGAGTCAACAACAAAGATGTGAGCACAGAAGTGTTTTCATTTATCACTGAAAGAGCACCAATATCTTCTTGAACTATCCTTTTTTTTTCTGAGGGGAAAATCATCAAATGACTTCTCCCGCCCAGGGTCGGCGGGAGGGAGTGTCAGACTCTTATTGACTAAAAACCCCCCTGTTCCTTCTTCTGCTCTGGGCCGAGGTCGCGGTGCCTCATTGCGCTTACCCCGCATCAGCCCTATGGGGCCCCGTCTGTGGTGGTCTATGGGTTCTTTGAGGCGCGCGCGGAACACTACGCGCCGTACGCTCGGGTCTGGTTCTGGTCGGGTGGCGAGCCATCCTTACTCGCCGTCCGCAGACCCGCGTTTACGGTGGCCGGAGATCATCTCTCGATCCCCGACGCCCGGAATGTCGCCTTCTGCGGCGGCTGGGGCGCGAGGAGGATAGTTCCCTCGCGCGCTCCGCCTCCTCCTTTGCGAGCATAACTGCTTCGCAGGAGGAGGAGATAACTTCCCAGTTCCTTTCGCTATAAACCATGGCCTCGATTAAGGACGGGCGCGAGACGTCGCCGCCGCCGATCACTTCCCTGAGTTCACGGCGGTGTTCAGCCCAGGCAGGGCATACCGCCACCGAATGCTCCACCATATCCTCTAGGTGGTCCTCACAATGACTACACTCGGGCATTTCCCTACGCTGGATCCGAAACAGGAACCCACCGAAGCTGCCGTGCCCGGTAAGCACCTGCGTCAGGCGGAAGGTGAGGACGCCGTGGCGTCTCTCAAGCCACTCCTCAAAGAGAGATCTTACCGCTGCTATTATAGCGTGCCTAACCCTCGTTCTTGAAGTATCCTAAGATATACTTGAGAAATATCCTTTCCTGTTCCTGTACAGCTCAGCTGGCCCACCAGTAGACGGTATCTTTACATGTTTCCAAATGCCCCGATCACATTTGGAAAAGAGCTAATTTTGTAGAATTCTGTTTTTATCCTTGTGCAATCTTCATGTTTACAGGGCATAGTAATCGCTGCAGATTCTTTTGTTATTATTCTACAAGCCGTAGATTTGTGCACTCTCAGCAACCGTAATTTGAAATGCTCATGTAGCATGGTAATAGCTTATTGTCAGTAGCACCTATTCCAAAGCACTGATAGAATGGTTCCTCAAAGTGAACTGTTTAATATTCGGTTCTAATATGTTAACTAGTAATAGCACAAACGCCTTTGTCCGTTGGTTGGTACCGATTCTTAAATTCCCCTTCATTGTAGAAATCAAACGGATTCATTCTGGTCTTAAATCTTTATCGCTGCTGGATGAGCTGATACTCATATTGCTACAATCCGAAAGAGACATTATCGTAATCTAAAACCAGAATCAATGTAAGTTAATCAAGATATCAAATAATTTACACTTACAAAGAAAATGATATTATTACAAATATAATTTCGTAATAAATATTTCTGTTTAACATACTTTAAAAAAAATATACTTATTTGAAGAGAAAATGTAGACTCACGTGAAAAATCAGTTGTATTCGTAAGTTAATTCGCCAACAAGCACCGATTAGTTGACCGAGCTTTTGACAGACGAATAATCTATGATCAAGGCTTGACCAGCGTTTCAGAAACCCAAAATTGAGATAATCATTCGATTCTTGAGTTGATTTGACAGCCATGTCAACTGACATGATGGTCAAATTAGTTGATTAATCATGCTTTATGCAACCCAATTGACACTTGACAAGAGATTTAACAGTAGATTAGTTAATTTTAGCGTTGACAAGCCTTTCAGAAACCGGGCGTTAGTATATAAGTGGTATAAAATAGAGATGGTGTACAAGTCTGAACACTCCTTAGAGTCTGGATAATGTCGTAATTTCTATCAATAGTTTTGATTTGGACTGGACTGAGTCGGCTGAAGTGAATTAGATAGTAAAAGTTGTGGTACCCAGAATGAGATTTAAATTTGTGCCTAAAACCCTATCAAACAACTATCATTTTAAAACAATCAAACTAAAAAGTTTAGTACCTATACAAACTATTAGGAAGCAATAAAAATATATAATTATAAGCGGCATCTGTAAAACTCCCTTTTAATGTGTCTACAGTGAAACTTTACAACCAGACCATTAAAAGTTGTCAGCCAACTTTATGCCCGCCACAACTATTCAGTGGAAATAAAATATCTGAGGGCATGCACGTTTCATTTTCAAATTATATTTAGATATACTGTAATTATAATAATGAAATATTATATGTATACTAGGGTATAGTCAAAGCCACACTAATTACTATAATAAATGCGAAAGTAACTCTGTCTGTCTTTTCTTCACGCCTAAACTGATTTCAGTCATATTTGGTACAGACATAGTTTGGAACTCGAGAAAGGATATAAGGATAGTTTTTATACCAAAAATCTGCAGGAAGTCACTTTTCCACTCGAACGGAATCGCGGACAAAAGCTAGTAGTATATATAGGGATCGCCGCCGATTTGTGTTCCATTCCCATTTTTTATTCTAGATTAAAGTTGTCTAAAGGGCCTCTTCGCGGTTGGCTTCGGCTCCTCGTACGTTTCCCAAATGACCGAGACCCTGTGGTCCCATGATTGAAAAAGACATGCAAATAATAATAATCATTAGAAATTCTATAAAGATTTAAAGCAAGAAGACGTCTTCATGCTGAAAAAAGACCACTTCACTTCTTTCAATGAATAAAAAGAAGATCTTCAACAAAGAGTTCAAGTTTCTGATAACAAAAAAAAGTCTAGTGGTCGTTTTGTTTTAGGTCCAACACCGTACCATGCTATCTCTTGCTACCAACATAAATATTTATTTATTTGAATATTACTCGACGTATTTATTCAACCCCCAAATTATGTCACGGACTTACAAATTATAGGGCAAAATTTATTGGTACCAACGCGAACTGAGTACGACACGATCGTGTGATCAATATTGTAATTGATTTGAATTGACTCTCATTACTATGACAGTTACCTTTTCTTCAGAGGGGTATGTCAGGGGTATTTATGATGTACCCCTAGACTAATTATGGGACAAGGTCCTTACAGAAAACCCGGTGACGTTAAGCAACTTTTACGTTGTGTTTCGCCGTGTGAGGTTACCGGAGGCCGAATCTTCCGCCTTCCCCATCCTCTATCCTCAAATATCCTATCCGTAAATCCCTAAAAATCCACAAGAAGTGTCCATTGTCGGCAGGCGTTTGCTTACCATCAGGTAATCCCTCAGCTCATTTGCCAACCTTAGACATAAAAGGTAAATTTTAATAAGCAGCGAGCCTGTAGCCTATATTCATGCTAAGACCATATTTAGAGAAAGTATACGAAAATAGCAACTCGTTCATAAACAGGAAAATATTGAAGCAGTATTACATCAACGTCTGGATATTTATTTTAAAACAAACGGAATAGAAATGGGATATCCGTGCCTCGGCACTAATGAGCCGGCTCTATCAAAGTGATACTACGACCTCACAGAAATCCGGCGTGAAACAACCACAGGCAGCGTTGTGTTTCGCGAGTTTACCAGACACTCAATCCTACCACACCCATCACTCAAAGGCCTAAGTCCCCAAAAGGTCCGCCACTTGCGACTACTCTGGTGTATCGGGTGTTTGTTAGTAGCGCCGCGCCAATCTGCTTACCATCAGATATCCCGCTTGCTCTTCTTGTTTACAACAGGATCATACATATATGTATGAAATAGATATCATCATATAATATATATGTATAAAAAAGGAAAACTGACTTATTTAAAAAAGATATATATTTTATCTAACACCTAATTATAAGTAACGAGGTAAAAGGTCATAAAGCCAACACAATCACAAGGAAAAATTGTTTTAAATTTTATGGGGTTCCTTGGCCAATAAAATAAAAGAGTTGCTTAAAATAGAAGCGCTTATTTAACTGATGCTTATGCACTTTCTTACTAAAATCATTGGGCGAAAAATTTGTGATGACATAATTACATGAGCACTTAAATCACTAATAAATTACTAATCTGTGAGCAGAAAACTTAAGTTAACCATTTATGCGCGTGCGCATAAGAAAGAGATTTAAGGGCAAAAGCATTTCGTACTTAGGTATATTGCAAGTAATTGGTATTTAACCTTAAAAGAAACACGTTTCGATCACATTCGACCTCTATGCGACCGCAAATGTTAATAAACTGACGGATTATATTATTTACTTATAAATATTGAATACGTCACTTTTGTACCAGCTTATTTTCTTTAACCAGTGCGTTTGATGACTAGATACAAAAATTTTATGGGAATTTTTCATAGGTAGAAGTAGGTGTGGTTTTGAAGTAGGGTAGATTAGCCTACTGCAATAGAATAGATTTAGGCAGTCCAGTCAAACTCTATTTTCTTAATGTCGATATAACGACAATTCCTACGAACTTTGTATGGCGTAGCACCTTGTGACGACATATTTATAAGGTAAATAGCATACTTATTTCTCTTAAATTATCAACAAAAACCTAAGTGTGGGTATCTTACAATTGATAAAACAAAGCATGATTACTTTTAACTACTTCATTGGTTACATAAATAGAAAAAAATAGTATGTGTGTCACATTTTACGAGTTAAAAATAACGATTAAAAGTAAATCTATCAATATAAAATACCAAACAATAAGAATAAACCCACACGAAATCATTCACTTAAAGTTTGGAAGATAAAATGATAACATTGAATTCTTGAATACTTATTTAATAAAACTGTACGCTTAAAATTCGCAATCTGTGGAACCGGTTTTGAAGTACCTAAAGATTACCACGGAAACGACCGTATCAAATATAGCTATTTATGTTTTTATATGTTGTTACATAAATCTAACCTTACTTTATTTCTACATAACATAACGTGTGTATGTTGTTATTTATGTACTACAAGATATTGTGCGAAAAATATAATAATATGTATCTAATTTGTGCAAGGATGACGCGATTATGTCATATCCTGTGGCGACGATAGATTCATAATTTACTTTGTACACCAGAACAGACTTTATAAACATTATCTCTAAGGTCCCAACAGAAACGATAAAACTCAAAGAATTAATACTATAAAATAAAAATAATAAACAGAAACTTACCTTTTCCTTTCACCAATTTGGTCCAATATTGTCTGTATCTTCTCCGCCTTATTATCTTCTTGTATCACTTTTGTGAGCTCATGGTGTACATAGTACCATAGCTCCTTAGTATTGGAGTATATCCTCCTTCTGAGATTCTCATAGTCTTCTGTTGGCCCCTGACCCCCGTCCAGGAAGAGGGACCCTGTGTCTATATCCTTCAGGTTACCATTGAGGCTAAAAAAATGATGAAGGTTAGAAGTTACAAACATATTGAAAAATGAAAAATGGCTTACTTTTAAGTGAGAAAACCATCAAATTCCTTTCCTCACTCTGGTGAGCATGAGGGAGTGACAGACTATAGACAGAACAACTGACTAAAAATCAACCCTTTTCCTTCACCTGCCCTTAGCCGGGGCCGCGGTACCTAAATTATTACGCTTACCCCGGAACAATGGATGAACACTGGCTATTGGGTTTTCTTTTTAATGGTCTAATGGCTGCTACTGATTTCGTTAATAAGCAAAACTGTCTGACTGTTTTAAAATGCATATTATTATAGAGAATAACGACCAGGAAACTCCATGGCAAGTTTGTATCAATCATTTTCATATCTAGTTATCGATTGTACTATCAGCATGTTTCGATTTTCGGGCACGCTACCATAGCAGCGGTAAGACCTCTCTTTGAGGAGTGGCTTGGGAGACGCCACGGCGTCCTCACCTTCCGTCTGACGCAGGTGCTTACCGGGCACGGCAGCTTCGGTAGGTTCCTGTTTCGGATTCAGCGGGAGGAAACGCCCGAGTGTCGTTATTGTGAGGACCACCTAGAGGATACGGTGGAGCATACGGTAGCGGTATGCCCTGCCTGGGCTGAGCACCGCCGTATCCTCAGGGAAGTGATCGGCGGCGGCGACCTCTCGCGCCCGGCCTTAGTCGAGGCCATGGTGCAGAGTGAGAGGAACTGGGACGCCGTCTCCTCCTTTTGTGAAGCAGTCATGCTCGCAAAGAGAGAGGCGGCCCGCGTGAGGGAGCAATCCTCCTCCTCACGCCCCAGCAGCCGCAACTGGCGACACTACGGGCGTCGGGGATCGAGGGACGATCTCCGGCCACCGTAAGCACGGGCCTGCGGTCGGCGAGTAAGGGCAGCTCGCCGCCCGACCAGAACCAGGCCCGAGCGTACGGCGCGTAGCGTTCCGCGCGCGCCTCAAAGAGCCAATAGACCACCACAGACGGGGCCCTAAAGGGCTGATGTTCAGCCGGGGTTGCGGGGTAAGCGCAATGAGGTACCGCGACCTCGGCACAGAGCAGGAGAAGGAATAGGGGGGTTTTTAGTCAGTAAGAGTCTGACACTCCCTCCTGCCCGGCCCTGGGCGGGAGAAGTCATTTGATGATTTTCCCCTCACAAAAAAAAAAAAAAAAAAAAGCATGTTTCGATTTTGCCTCCGTCCTTTTAGCAAACTTGCGCAGTAATTCAATCTGTGCAAGGTACAAATTCACGTCAAAGTCAAAAGTCAAAAATCATTTATTTCAATTAGACCACAGTAGGCACTTTTGAACGTCAAGCAAGCAAAAAAGGAAAAAAGTATATATAACAAGAGCTTTAAAATTAAGCGTGTCAGTCTGTCCGTCTGTCCTCTAGTGAAGCTATTTGCTCGTTCCAAAGTGTAGATTCCTATGGAGAAGAACGAGCAAGAAACTCCATGGTTACTCTTTTTCAATCAGTTTTACAATACATTTCTTTGTTACATCATTTAGTCGGTTCTGATATGTGAGAACAATATAACACTAATGTTCAGGCAAAAAGTACGAAAAAGAAGTGAACCTCAAGGACAACATATTTAGACAGCCTGGAGATGACCAGTCCCAATAGGCGGCGCCCGTTCACGAACATGACACGTACACCAGCACCGCCCAACTCAACCATATTATAGGGAATTGGACGATCCAGTGCCCGTGCCACCGCCAATGAGACCTCTGAGTGAGCATGACAGCTCCCAGCCGACACAAGTACCTATATTCTACAAGTCTTACTTAATTATAATAGGTTACAGGGCACTCACATTTACAAAATCTTAGAAGTTCATCAACAATTAACAACATAGTGTACAATTTAATAATTAAAAAAAAAAAAAATACTCTAAACATCCTGTGGAGTAGGACCAGCTAGCCTCCAAGCATTTTTATCTTGTATACTTATATAATCATTTAGTTTGTAGTATGCTAGTTTACATAAATGTTTCTTTATACATAATTTAAATTTGCTTTCATTTAAATTTTGAATTTCAACTGGGATTTTATTATAACATTTAACACAGAAACCCAGGAATGACTTATGCACTTTTGCCAATCTAAATAAAGGCTGACTCAATCTATTCCTATGTCTAGTATGATAATCATGTTTGTCAGATACCTTTACAAATAAGTGTAGGTTTTTCCTAACATACATAATGTTTTCATAAATAAATTGACTCGGTACGGTCAGAATGTTGATCTCTTTAAACTTTTCTCTGAGAGATTCGCGACGACCTAAGTTATATATAGCTCTGACGGCACGCTTTTGCAAGATAAAGATAGACTCAACGTCAGATGCCTGTCCCCACAACAGAATTCCATACGACATGATGCTGTGAAAGTAGCTAAAGTACACTAGTCTTGCCGTGCCGACATCGGTTAGCTGACGGATCTTCCAGACAGCATAAGCTGCAGAGCTCAATCGTCCTGCTAGAGACCTGATGTGGGGCCCCCATTGCAACTTCTCATCTACAGTGATCCCCAGGAAAGTAGTCTCTTTTACAAATTCTAGTTTCTGATCATTTAATAATATATCATCACATACGTTATTTTTAACATTTGGTAAAATAAATGTAATGCATTTAGTCTTTTTATCATTTAGTAATAAGTTGTTTATTGTAAACCAATTTTGAACCTTCATTAAGGCATTATTAACTTCGTCATACTTGTTTGTTCGTCTATTTATTTTAAAAATCAATGAAGTGTCATCGGCGAATAATACCATATGCGGTTCATTTTGGAACATATGGGGCAGGTCATTTACATAAACTAAAAATAGAAAAGGACCTAATATTGAGCCCTGCGGTACGCCCATAGATACGCTAGCACCCAGTGAGTTAACTTTGTTGACTTGTACTTTAATTTTTCTTTCTTGAAGGTATGATTTCAATAAATCTAGGGATACCCCCCGAATGCCGTAGTGTTCTAGCTTCAGTAATAGCGTCTCGTGCTCAACACAGTCGAATGCCTTTGAAAGGTCGCAAAATATTCCGATGGCATCCTGTGCTTTTTCCCACGAGTTGAAAACTTGTTTTATAAGTGATACTCCTGCGTCCGTAGTGCAACGTCCTTTGGTGAACCCGTATTGATGGTCATGGAAAATACAATTCGTGTTAAAGTGACGCAGCATTTGAGTAAGCATCAACCTTTCGAACACTTTACTGAGCACTGGCAAAATAGAGACCGGCCTATAGTTATTAGGTTCTGTACTATCACCTGATTTAAATAATGGAACTACTTTACTATGTTTCATTAAATCCGGGAAAACCCCTTGATCTACACTTTTATTAAAAATGAAAGTTAAGTGCGGCGCAATTGTCTCTATAAACGACCTGCACACTCGAACAGACATTCCCCAAAGATCTTCAGTTGACTTTACTTTGATCTCATTGAACGCCTTTATTACTGCCTGGGGGGTTGTGTATTGAAAGCTAAAGTCAGAAGGACATTCTTTGACGTTACCCCTGAGAAGCTCGACAGAAAGTGCTGGAGATGATTTTAACGTTTCCGTAGTTTTAAGAGGAATATTTTTAAAGAATCTTTCGAATTCCTGGGCAACTGACGAATTTGAACTAGTATATCCCTTTTCGGTTTTTAAATTAAATTCAGTGTTTTGTGATTTATTTCTACCTGTTTCTTTATTAATTATATTCCAGGTAGCTTTTATTTTGTTTTCCGCGGTCCTGATTTTATTACTAATGTGGAGCGACTTAGCATGCTTACATACTATTTTAAATATTTTTGAATATTTGGAAACATGTCTGCGAAAAGCCTCGCTACTATTAAATGGTTTTAGGCCGTATAGCTCAAATAACCTGTCTCTACTTATACGAATACCTGGTGTAGCCCAGTCACAGAATACAAATTTACACTGAACATTTTTACGTTTTAAAGGAAATAGTTTATCGAATTGTATTTTTATAAGGGATAATAAATTAGCATATATCTCACTCGGGCAATTATTGTCTTGTACTTGGCTGCATAATTCATGTTTTAGCTTATTATTTAATGAATAAATTTTTTTGTACGTGATTTGTCTAAACAATATTTCCTTTTTTGGCACAGTTGTTATAGTATTAAAGTTAACTGTGAGCCCACTGTGATCAGATGGTAATCTATTTACAATTTCACTTTGTAAATAATCACAGTTACAGAAAATATTATCTATACAAGTTGCCGAGGTGGATGTTACTCGGGTGGGCTCAAGGAAAACGTTAGACAAATCAAATGATTGAAAGAGACTTAACAAGTTTGTACAATGAGAATTGTTTTCTAAGAGATCAACATTAAAATCGCCACATACTATTGTACATTTACTACTAGAACATGTTTTCCGCAGTACATCTTCCATTACAGAGCGAAAAATATTTAGATTCTGTATGTTAGGAGGCCTATAAACACATACTATAATATGCCTATCCAGCTCAACACAGGACAACTCTATTGTGTGTTCAATTGACAGCAGGGCAATGTCTTGTCTTTCTTTATATTTTATTGAGTTCTTTACTAAAATCAGGCTACCACCATGTATCATTGCTTGGCGGCTATAATTGCTGCCAACACAATAGTTATTGAAGTTAATTGTTTCTACTTGATAATCTTTTAACCAATGTTCAGTTAAACAAATAATATCATATTGGAATTTCTCTAAAAACAATTCAATTTCTAAGAATTTTGATGATAAGCCCTGAATATTTTGACTGTACAATGACAACAAGTTATCTAATTTAGTTTTATGTTTTAATTCAAATTGATGCTTAATATTATTGCCAGAAGAAACCTTTTCAATGAATGTGGTTTTTGAGTAATTTAATTGGTTATCTTCTGTTGTAGTGGAAGTCAGTTTAAAAGAATATTATCCAGAGTACTATGTGTACTACCAGAGTACACGTGTAATGCAGTAATTAAAGGGAAGGATTTTTTTATTGTGAGGGGAATATCATCAAATGACTTCTCCCGCCCAGGGCCGGGCGGGAGGGAGTGTCAGACTCTTGCTGACTAAAAACCCCCCTGTTCCTTCTCCTGCTCTGGGCCGAGGTCGCGGTGCCTCATTGCGCTTACCCCGCAACCCCGGCTGAACATCAGCTCTATAGGGCCCCGTCTGTGGTGGTCTATTGGCTAAAGGAAATAGGGATACGTTGAAACTTATCATAGTAGATACTTACTTAAAAGAAAGAACTTACCTAGAAGACTTCTTAATTTGTGATATGAGATTACTATGTTGCTGCCTCAAGGTCTCCAGCTGCGAAGACACCTTTTTCAACCTTTCTTGGAATTCTGTTACCTCATCTTGGTTTCCGTTGCATCTGAAATAATTGTCTATGTGAATTTTCTTGTACTACGAGTGGTATATTGTGCTAAGATAATAAAGTATAGTAATAAAATATAGTATATATAAAGTGAGCGCTAGCCGTTGGCATGGTGTATGATGCTGTGCTTTCAGCTTAAAATGTCTCCTTGTATGTTTGTTAGATGCCATTTTCAAAATATATCAAAGCCTTTTGGTGATGTTCTTAGTGCATTGTCGTATTTACAAATATCCACTTAAAGACACTACAATCTATAAATATAAAATTAAATAATCTCTAACTCTATTTAAGGCTGATTTTTCAATGGTTAGATAAAAGTTATCTCGAAAATAATTATGATGCTGTCGCGTCAGAATGTTTGTATAAGACAGTGACAGCAACAATTTTATTCATCAGATAACATTTATCTGTCTATTGAAAGATCAACCCTTAATATAATTTAAAACGTGTCATTCCTCCTTAGAAGTATGTATATGTATTTTTACTAACATGTTGAGCTTTCGAGCACGCTAGTGAATTTAGCTGTTGATGATCTAAGAGAAAAGTGAAGTAACAGCAGCTACAGGGTAAAAGGCAAACAAAAACTAAAAGGAAAAAATAAAAAAAAAATATAACGGCACACTAGACTTAGGAAGTAAGCTTACCGATCATTTAAGCTGTAATACAGAAAACATAAAGTTAAATCGAAGAAAGAATTAGTAATTAAAGTTATTACAAGGCGCAAAGTTAACTCTACATAGTATAAAACAGTCGCTTTCTCTGCCCCTGTATCCTATCCTACAAAAAGGGGTTTGATGCAGTTTTTTAAATAGAGTTATTGAAGAGACAGATACATATTATGTAAAAAACATTCATTAAATAGTGGACAATTTTAGTATCAGCATTTCACCCGTGCTAGTTAGCTATTTTGAGGAACCAATTACACTAAACATATGTGATCAATCCTTCGACTGGACTCCTAAAGAGACTCACCTCAGTCCGGACTATATAAGAGACCGAGCTCTGAGTTTGTTTGTTTCGACATTCCTCCTCAGAGTACGTAGTCAGATAGGAAATGCCAGCTTCATATAGAATTACTTCATATATGTTGACGTGTTAAAGTTCTGTTTATGTCATATTTATTAAAAAAGACATTGTTTTATTGTTTGAGTGATTTTTTATTTTTACACAAAATTGTGTAGTTAACTTTAAGAAGTGGATTTGGATTAGTCACAAGCCTATTTATTTATGTTATTAAATATAGATTATCTCGTTTGTCAAAGTAAATTGACGATCATTCATTGCAAACGCTAAACCCGGATTCCCATCACATCACATCATCAGCCTATTAGAGCCCACTGCTGAGGAAAAACCTCTTGTCACGTGGAGAGGGTTTGAGCATTAATCACCACGCTTGATCTCAAGATCAAATTTATAATTACGAATTATAAGTCCTGGTTTCCTCACGTTGTTTTCCTTCACTGTATGTCAGTGGTGTCTAAATAATCATAGAAAGTATAATCACTCAGAAAAAGTCCCAATTTGACTTTTTCTGAGTTAAATATGAGAACCGGCCATGAGACCTTTATCTTCACGCCACCACCAGCCCAAACCTGGATTATCTCCATTATTATACTTTATCCTATCTACGTAAGAGAAGATACCTTTGTTAGTTCTAGGAAAATTACCGGCTGATGATGAAGATGATGATGATTATGAAAATATTGATCTATGTGTTTTTTTTATTCACAAAAAAGTTTTACATTATTAACTTACATCAAAAATCGCCAAACTGTAAGACAGTTTGTTGGCGATAGTGGCGCTCTTATGTTTTAAATTATTATTAATTATTACTACTGTTAATATTATAGGTACATAAAAGATATCTTTAATCTTTATTTTATTTATATCTAAGACAATACAATATATTTTAATACTTATGTGTTTAGCATATTTAAAAATTCCGTTTTAATCAGTTTTTTCTTTAGTGTTAATGTAAATAGTTAAATACATACCTGAGTGGAGATATAACCAAGTAGGTGACGACAATCCAAACGAAGAGCAAGACAACAGCGGCGCGCTTCCATTTGGCCAGGTACATTATAAAGTAGTCATTGACTGTCGCGGGGCCACTCGAGTAGTGTTTCATTGTCGCGGCGGCATCGTTGAGGCACCTCCTCACAGCCGGCTCATAGACATCATCTACGACAAAGAAAAAATACTTTTTATACATATAAAACTAGCTGTTACCCGCGGCGTCGCTCCCGTTATTTGACTACTCACCCTACCCTACCCTGCCTACCCTACTCTACCTACCCTACCTACTCTACTCTACCTGCCCTACGTACCCTACACTCTACCTGCCCTACTCTACCTACCCTACTCTGCCTACCCTGCTCTACCTACCCTACTCTACCTGACCTACTCTACCTTCCCTACTCTACCTATCCTACTCTACCTACCCTACCCTACTCTATCCTATCCTATGTCCTTCTCCTGGCTCTTAACTACCTCCCTGACAATTTTCAGCTAAATCGGTTCAGCCGTTCTTGAGTTATAAGTGAAGTAACTAACACGACCTTTTATATACATATACATATAGATTAAAGCCATTTTCCTTGGGTCAACGCACTACGCGTGATCGGCTAGACTGATATCGGTGATTTTTGTGACGCCGTGTTCGCTTAGACAGGAGAAGGTTCTTAACAAAGAAAATTTTCTACAACTAGATTAATTGGAAAATATTTCCATTTCCATTGTGATGGCTCCCTAACGAAACAAATGACTGACTCGGAGATAGTTGGACACCCGTGAGAATCAAGGGTGGCCGCTTGCCCTAGCATAGTATGAATCAAAGTCGCTTTCTCTGACCCTATATTTTTTTTATGTGATCATTCAGCAAACGAGCTGACTGATTACGTTATGGTTAGCAATCAGAGCCGCCTATGGACACACTCAACAACAGAGGAGTTAGCAGTGCGCTGCGCGATCTTTTGGGGATTAGGGATTTGGAAATTTAGGGATTGGGGGAGGGGAAAGATTGAGCTTCCGGTAACCGCACTCACACGGCGAAACACAACGCTGTGGTTGTTTCACGCCGGTTTTCTGTGAGGACGTGGTGTAACTCCGGTCGAGCCGACCCATTTGTGCCGAAGCATAGTTCTTCCACACTTGTATATCTCTATGTATGCTTAAATGTCTCACACTACGCAACGGATTTTGATGCGGTTTTTTTAATAGAGTGTGATTGAAGAGGATCTACATTCAGGACGATAATAACATCCATTAAATAGTGGAGCAACTTAGTATCAGCATTACACCCGTGTGAAGTCAGGGCGGCTAGTAAGCCAAAAAACATCAAACAAAACTTATTTACTCAACGCCGATAATTATCAGTCGTATGAGGATAAAAATAACTTCATCGAAACCGCAATTTTATGCCATAAAATGTCTATCAGATATTATCAGATGCCGGAAGGAAACCATTAAAGCATTCAAAGAGGACTTTCATAACAAAACCGTAGAACCGTTAATGGATTACCGAATACCATCATCAACCTTTTGTATTCATAGAGTCGGACAGCGAATACAGTTTAACAAGGGTCATTGTATGGTTTGTCCACTCTTTTAACATACTCCAACTATTATTAGATATGCGTTTGTATAGTAACTATCGTCAGACGTAATTTTTTTATTGAAAACTAGCTACTGTCCAGCTTTTTCACCCGCCGCGCCGCTCCTAAATATCGCAGCGTGATATAGCCTATAGTCTTTGAGATTAGCGCTTTCAAACAAACTCTACAGCTCTATAATACCTACAGCTCTATAATATTATATAGTTTAGCTTTATCAGTTTTAAGTCATAGAGTCGGCTGCGAGACATCGCATCTAGATTAAGTAGTCCCGGTAGTAACTTAAAACTAGGGAAGCTTTTTTCAGTTAATTCTCGTAAGTCGTTATTTCCAATAAATTTACTATTACTACTATATCATTTATACATTCTGTATCCATTCGGACAATAATCTATAGTAATATTACATTTAGTTTTTTTATTGTTTGCTTAAACGCGCTTATCTCGGGAACTACTGGAATTAAACAATTATTTGCGAGCAGCATGGAAAGCGTGGCAGTAGTTAGTGCCAAATATTGAATACCCACACTCCACACTACCTACGGTTTTGCGTACGCTCTTAAAATTTATTTTATACATACTCGACATTCTGAATGCTAGTTTTATTATTCTAACGAAGTCACTTCTGTGGAAAAATAGTAAAGTACATACCTAACTAAAACATAGTTACTACTTCAGTTTTCCTACTTAGAACTAAAACACTTGAAGATGTCTTTACATCGCTTCATATTATTATTGATATTACATATATTCTCATAAAAACTTGCTTTGTGTGACCACAAATTCCAACCAGTCAGTAGGTTAGTAGTTCATACGCAGTTATTTTCACAGAGCAGGAGAAGGACACAGGAGGGTAAGAGTCTGACACTCCTTCCCGCCCGTTCCTGAGCGGGAGAAGTCAATTAATGATTTACCCCTCACAAAAAAATAATATTATTTTTGTTAATTTTTAGTTATTTTTTAGTGTTTCAGTCGTTTACTTGAAAGCTTAGCTTAGTTTATCTATACTAAATATTATTGAGCTAAAAAGTTTGTTTGTTTGTTTGAACGCGCTAATCTCCGGAAGTACTGGTTCAAATTGAACAATTCTTAATTTTTTTATGTTTGTTAGTCCATTTATAGCAGTCCAGGCTGTAAAACATCACGCTACGATCTGAAGGAGCAGAGCAGCGGGTGAAACCGCGCGAGAGTAGCTAGTTATTTGAAAAAATTACTTTGTCAGGTAGCTTCTCCAACATCACACAGCTTACAAGTACTTGAACGTTAGTTATTTGCTCACTTCGCGAATAAGCACCACTTGACATGTGGAAATTATGTTCAATCAAGGACACAAATCAAAATTAAGATAAAATAACTGTACAAGACATGTGTTTTGTTTATTGTTAAGCAAGCAAAGGCACATAAGGCGCCATATTTTTGGTCAAAACTAATAAAACAGGTAACTTCGTTGATAAAAAGATGCAACCTATCTACATGCCAAATTACAACCAAATCGGTCGAGCGGTTTTCGCGTGAAAAAACAACAATTAGGTATACATCCATTATAAGTATCACATTTACATTCATAGTAGCATAGATGAGCGATGTCGATTTGAATATAAGGCAGGATTATATTCTTAATCCTTTACCGCAAAAATGCAATGTGGAGAAAGATTTCTCCTTTTATTACATTTTTCAGACTTATCCGCATGTCCGGGCGACTGAATGGCATTTCAGTGCTGAATGCAAATCCGAGTCAAATTAAGCCATGAAATGCTTTAGCTAAGCACATATTAGAAATCCCTACATCGTATCTTCGACTGAATTACAATTTAAGTGCACCATGGAGTTTCTTGCTCGTTCTTCTCCATAGGAATCTACACTTTGGAACGAGCAAATTGCTTCACTAGAGGACAGACGGACAGACTGACACGTATAAAGTTAAACCTTTTGATATATTTTTTGTTTGACGTTCAAATGTGCCTGTTGTGGTCTACTTCAAATAAAGAATTTGTTTTGATTTGCATTTATAGTTGAATGTTTAATGCATGCATTGTTTATCGATCTCTCTCAAGTTTAGTAACAGAAGCTTACTTGAAAGGACCAAACAATGGGTAAATATTTAAGAAGAATAGTGGCTATTCTTGAAGCCCAAAGGCTATCGAAGCTTGAAATATTCCTTGAGTAACAAGCTTAGGTATTATTATTTATATTAGCTTCCGCCCGCGGCTTCGTCCACGTAGTGTATTGGTTAGAGTGTTTTCTATGCCCGTGGCAAATTTCATCCAGATCCGTCCAGCTGTTTTGGCGTGATTGCGTAACAAACATCCAAAAATCTAAACTTTCGCATTTATAATACTAGTAAGAGTAAGAAGTAAGATTTGGTAAAAGAAATTAAACTAGGTTTAGTCTGAAAGGTATCCTAGGTTAACAGTAATGATTAATAGTTTTCTACATAATACCTACTAAACAATGCAAACAAATTTAACCCTTAACAGCACTTTCAATTTAAGTGCTGTTATCGTCCAGCCACTAAAGCTTGTTTATCTGATCATACGAGTTTTGTAACATTATGATAACCCATTTTTCAACAACACAATACTTGCCTGTTTATTAGATAATAACTACATATAACATTTTGTACGTGTTGTTTCTAATTAATATTTACGATAAGTGTTCGGTAGTGTAAACTAATCATTTCATTTTTCCTTTAAGTTTAACGTGTGAAACATAATCATTAGCAGCCGCGAGTCGAGATAGATAAAAAAGTCGAATATAAATCGAGCAAATGTTTTAAGAACTGGCAACTATTTATTTCAATCTATTTTATAAAAAATCAATGCCATTCGTCGTTGTAATGTTATAACTCAACAATGCCTTCACCGATTTGCCTAATTTTGATCTTGAATTCTTCGTGGAAGACCAGAGAAAATTTAAATAAAAAACTTGAAATAGTGTAAAATCGACATCCACGCTGGCGGCACCGCGGGTGACCGCTATTATTATATGAATGCGAAACTATTATTATATGAATGCGAAACTATTATTATATGAATGCGAAACGCATCAAAACAACTTGTATCTACTTAACTTAAACTAAGTTATTAAATACAAACCATTATTCACAATCATAAGGTTAAAATGATTAACGAACTTCTCAGTTGTATAATGGACAAAACAAAAGCATGCAACGCGAACAGCCCCAAGTTCCACGTAGCTAAAACGTTCATTCAAGCATCTCATTTTCATAAAACTCACTCGGAATGACATGCATTGAATACACCGGTCTGCGGTGACTCCCTTTCAACTGGAACAGGCATAAAAAGTGCACTACGATGCACACTTCACTAGCTCCCAGTCTGAATATGCGAATGCATACTATCGTGGCATCAAAACAAGTTTTTCCCTTATATCACGTCCAAACTTTCATTTGTCATTTTTTAAAAGTATATTAGATGCAAAAAACAAGATTTCCAACTTGAAATATGCTAGTTTCCAACTAGTCAAATTCAATACTTTTCCAAATGTCAAAAACGATTCTCTTCTATGAAATTTGTATGTAAAACTGAGTTATGACGTCATAGTTTTTAAG